CAAATGATTAACAATTTTTCCAAAAATTCAAAACTCTATACGTAAATTGAATTTATTAGGGAAGTTAACATCGCTTGCATGGAAAAAAAAGTCAAGATGGTGTACAATCTTCTTCAAGGAGCTTGGTTTTTCCCCGACATGTTAACGGAAATTTTCTTGCATTAGAAAAATAAAGCACGTAATCTGCTGCTCATTAAATAACGGCTAATTCCAGTGGCAATTGGCAGTAGAGCCCCTAGAAATTTTGACAGGGTGTTCAGAATGTTTGTCAAAGGACTGCATGAAGCATATTTGATCGAAATGCCAAATATACAAAGAAAAGTTTTACAAAAAATGGTTTTACAAGTAAGATCTATACTTTTAACCTTAACAAAAGATATTGTAACCTTGGGTGCTATTTAATATTTTAGGTGTTTAGAGGAAAAGGAGCCATGGAATCATTGTCAAAGGGTCAGATCACAGCAGCACATCTGCGAAAAATTTGTAACGCTATAGCCGCCCTACTTTATGCTTACAACAATCGGGTAATCACTTTATCGTACAAAGTCACTTTTTCAAGGATCCAATCCATTGAAAATGTACGTCGACTTTGCAAATAGACTCTTAATGGGTTCATTTTCGCTCAGAAATCTTTCAAAAACTGTCATCATTAAGAAAAACAGTTACTTAAAATTAGTGTGTTAATTCTAATCTCGCTAACGGAAGTATTTTTAGAACTGCACGATTAACTTCATAGAAAACAGGATACGAAGCATGTTTTCTTGATTCCTCAACATTTGCTCACATTTTCAGGCTAATCTCAAAACTGAGGAGTGCGTCGCATACGTGAACGAACTACAAGAATTTTGTGAAAAGTACGGTTTTATCTGGACGTAAATGCATTTTATTTTGCAGCTCATTGAAGTGGTGTTTCATAAGAAGCTATTGTTTGTTTGAGATATTATTTACCACTATCAAATATTTCTATAAACATGTTATAAATACCTCTAACTTGTAACTGTTACTGAGTTTGATTTTGCTTGCGCTGATGTTGCTGTAATCTTGCATTCTAATTATATTTAGTTTTTGTTGAGTTTTTGATAAAGAAGATTTTTTGAGCGAGAATTAATTGCATAG